CAATCTCTGGTCATTTATTGTGCCCTATTGAGGACGTTTTCGCCCTTATAAGGGCAGGTATGGTATAAGGGGGAGCCTCGAGTTCATATTATATGCGAATCTCAGGAAACAACTTTATCGTGAACTGTGCCTTCAAACTCGAACTTGATTTATCGAACCTTTATAGAGAAAACAAATCAATAACAATAAATGAGGATAAAAGTGACAACCCTTATGCTATGACAACTGCAACAGTTAGCACCATGAGATAATCATAAGAAACAGCCTTCAACCGATCCGAGTTAGGGCTTTATTCTCCCAGACGAGTCTGGAACCAATTAACCGACCCCGGTTGAGGATTGGTTGGCCTAGGCGGATATCGATCCAGGATTCGAACCCCTTACCGTGCGTGTGAGATAGTGCACTACTTCCATTGCACCACCTCCGCCCATAACACATTATACTTACAGTAATTACGACAATTTTGTTGCGTCATTTTGTTCGTGGCTTACAAATTTGAGCGAAAACGCTGCACTGCTACGAATTGCCTAGGTTGATGGGATATAATAACAAATCTGACCCATCGCAATCACCCGATTGAGTGAGCACCGTCCCAAATAACTGTGCCGTGCAACCCTAAAGGAGGTCACTCAATTGACACTCAGTTCGATTTCAGGGATAAAAGGAACGGTGCCCTGTCAGGTTCTGATAATTTTGAAGCAAATTTTAGGAAATGATTCGCTGATTGTCATGCACTCATTCGCCTTTTGGGTTAGTCACTGTTGTAACTATACGCTCTGGAACAGTTCAACACTGTGGAGAAAACGCGGCAATATCGTAGATTATCCGGGTTGAAAAGAAAATGCAGCAAAATGCAAACAATTGGGTTCGTGGCTTCTTCAAATAAAGTTTTTACGAGTGTTACAAAATAGCTGTGATCAAACTGTAACGGAGCGACACCATTAGTCCTTAGGGCTTAGTACATAATTCATGAGTAAACAGTGAAGACAATGGTCGTGGATGGGTTGACCAACAGCTTCAAATGGGACAGGGGTAATTTTGTGGTTGTTTTCTTGGCTTTGGCTTTCGACTGTTGGTTTAGTTCAACTTTCTCGCTACGTTACTTTTTGACAGCTCAGGTTCGAGCTGTGTATGTGGTGCCTCTGTCAAGCCAAAAATGTCGATGGTAGTCCTTTAAAGATTAAGTGAAATAAATTTGAGAGGGCTTGTATCATTGGGGTTCCATTGTGAAGGTAGATTATTAATCCAATTAAGAGTGGATAAAAGCTCAGACAGAGGGAAAATACGCTTCTCCCGGGGAAAAGGTGCACCTATGAAAGGGATGGAGAAAATAGGAAGAGGTGCACCTATGAAAGGAATGGAGAAAAAGGAAGGAAGAATGTCGTATGAAGGAACCTTACTGGAATAATACCTACTGTTACTTTTCTTGTTTTTACAGAAAGGCTGTTTTCCCTCATGGAGAGAGACCACCGAAGTTTGACTCCTGGGGCAGAACAAAAAGAGAGGCAACGGCACGGTGTTTCCTGACAACTCAGTCGAGGACGAAGGAATCAAGGATATCGTGAAGAGTAAGGTTTTAGGCTTGACCGATATCCCCAAATTGACTTCCTATCAAAAACGGAGCGATGTCTAAATGCCTATAGGTACTTTCGAACGAGTCTGGGAATATATAAAGTGAATCCCTGATCGAATCGATCCATACCAATTGATCCTTTTGCCCTTGTGTACTCGGGTAATTGGTACCATACTCATCAGGGAAGATAAAAAGGCTGTTACCCACATCAATGGGTCTAATTATTAGTCTCAAACACATACATTCCACAACGTCCCGAATTTCCATCCATTTCACATGCCACTGCGATTTTGTCAATGATAGTCACCAGTCGCTTCTTAACGCTTTCCAACGTCTCTTTATCAGCTGAACTAAATCCATCAACTCACGGTTTTCATCGATGAACACCATATTATTCGGCTAATACTTGACTCTAATGAAACAATCCCATTACGAAGAGACCGGAGCCTTGCGAGAGAGCCAGAAAATGGAATGGCAATTATCCGGTCCTCCTATACACACCGTACCTTGAATATGGGCGGCGATTTCCGGTTGAGGTGCACCGATTTGCGCTCATCGGTCCCCTGAATGTTCCTCGCTGGCCGACTGCCTTATTTTCTCTATCATAATCCTGGATAATCCCGTTAAGTATACCATTTCATGCCTTAGACATTAATGGCAGCCGAATTATGATGTGTTCTTCATGCGAATCCAACCCTTCAGCAACTAGTTACTTACTCGAGTACATTGTGCGGTTTTATAGTCTCCTTTCCTGAACCATCATTTTTTCTGCGCACTGTGAAGAACTAGGCATTTCAGAGCTGTTCGAACGCACTCCCACTATCATTCACCTTGTCTGACCCACGGGCATGGATTCGTGGTTGCCTTTCGTCTTATTCTCTCTTGCTGCCGGTTGTGCTCCACCCGGCTTTGTTCAAAGCAATGACCCAGGTAATATCTTTGATATTTTACTCAATTGACTTATTTTGGATAGTAAACTCGATTTCCATGCATAGGAGACTTGTCAGATATTATAGAAGCACGGTAAGGAGTAGACAAGTTCCTCCCATGAATTTGGGTCTCGGAGGTCTCTATTGAGGTTCAAAGTGGTGACCTCCATAGTTTCCGAGAGTAATTATTTAATCGCATCAATTACTCAATCTGACTTCTATTCTAGGTAATGTCGGTGCACGATGTTCCGATCTCATTCTCTATCCGGTTTCTGCGGTCGATCAGAGTGATCAATACAGGTAATTTTTCAAAATTGGTCCAGGTAACGATAAATTGTTAATGCTGCTATAACCGGCTCTACTGATTGAACTCGTAGCTGATCAAAGTTCGCAATCGACTGTTCCTGAAGTATCCAGATATTCAGCCATAACATTAGAAATGGTCACATTATACAGAAATCTCTCCTAAATTACTTTTCCTACACTAGTACAAAATATAGAAAAATTGAGCATCCGTTTTGCACCCATTTGATAAATGTGATAGCGGAACCTAGGTAAATGTTTAAAACAATGGGAAAGCAATTTTAGGGAATACATTCAATGGTAGCAAAAATGATGAACCGCTTGGCTTGATGGTTATTTTAGCATTTTAATAAGTAAAATTAACTACGCACAAGTTTGTGCCTAATTTGTACGGCTAAGACAAAATTTAAACAAATTTTCATTTCCACGACATTCCCGTTTCAAAGTACCTTTTTAAGCGTTTCTATCTAGCACCGAAGGTACTAATTGCAAGATCTCCTTCAATATTGCTAATGGTTTCAAGATTGATTCCTTTAGAAGTGTGGGAAGTTGATGAAGTGAGACTAATCATAGCTCCCTTTCCTAGGGGTGGCCTTCAATGCCTACAACATTAGGAGATTAGTTAGGCTCGAGCCAGAGCGTATGACGACGCATGGACTGAAAGCTGCAAAAGAAGGTGTATCAACGTGCTCCAATATACCGACATCCGTTCGAGCTGCCGTTACTCATTTAACTCCTAATTGGGTGTTTTTTCTATAAGCCCTTGAGAGTTATCATTGTATCAGCCATTGCTGTTATATGCAAGTGATAAGTCTCACCTCGATGTTCAATTTAGACGTAGATGGGCTTTCCAGGTCTTTTGTTCCTCACCTACCAAGACCCCTCTCTCACCCTCGCCTTCTCAAAAAAATTTTCAGAAGAAAATGAGATGAAAAATCAAGCCAAAACTATGGTTACAAACGCAAAGTGTAAAGACTTACTAAATAACCAGTTCGGGGAAAGTTCAGCTTTTATGACCACGAAGGATAATTGCTATCGTTATGACAAACTTGGAAAGACTATATTCTGGTTGGAATTTTGTGAAGTTGCCTGCCTTCCCATACTTCCTTGGATATATCTAAAGCCAGTCCCTTCTGCGTATTATAATTTTGCATTAGAACAGAGTGTATATGTGCTCTGGAGAGACCGTCTCAGAAGCGGTCTTCTACCAAAAAACCTTTGTTTCTCTTGTTTCTCTATGTGTCCCTTAATGTAGGTTAATTCATTACTTTCATACTATACATCATATTCTTCATATTCACATCGTACATGTTAGTTTTTCTGTGATAATAAAAATATTATAGATTAAAACAAACAAAAATGTCTCCATATTTTGAATGTGGTGTCGCTTTGACTGCTCTTTTTAAAGTAATTGTGAGTAACAGTACCATGAAGTGTTCTTGTAATTCTTGCAAGCTGTTACGTAATCTATTATTGACCATTTGTGAGAAGCTCCTTCAGATGAACTTTTTCAATCCTTGAGCTGCACCCTCTATTTGTTATTTGAGACAGAATGTAAAGCTCGGAGACGTTCGTTTCTATTGAATGCAACATAATCATGGATAGTATGCTGTGAATAATCAAAAAGTTTTGTATGGCGATAGACAAAGGACACCACCTACTTAATGATGTTTTTATATAGATTCTAAATGGATAAAGTGATGAAGTCTTTGGGCGTCAATCAATCCCATCTAAGGCATGCGCCCACCCATTCGACTTTCATTATGATTCGTGGTGGCGTACAAGTCAGTGCTTTAATCCTCCCAAACGAGTCTGGTACCAATTATCCAATTCAAAAGGGAAAAAAAGACCTGCTGATTTAGGGTGACAGCGATCCGGGATTCGATCCTTTGACCGTGAGTGCGTGATAGTGCGCCTCTATACCACCTCCGCGTATCTAGTATACAAGATACAATTTTTTGAATCAATTCTCGATATCCGTTCAGGGATTTTGTGACATGTTTTCCCTTTCACTTACCCAAACCTGAACTGATTAGGGCATAACTTTCAATTACGCATAAGTTCATCATAGCAACAGCACAGAGGTCCCCCATAAGCCCTTCTCAATTGCGTTTCTCGCGAAAGGCTGGGAGGTCATTGAATATAATACTTCGAAAAGCCAGTTTTCCATTTCCAGGCGATTAAGCCGTTTTTATTTTGAGATTCGACTACAGCGATGTGAGTTTCGGTAACACACATGCACAAGGCGCTACGGTAGCAATCACATGCACGACTGGTGGACAGCCTGCTACTGTCGAAGGGTATGATCAGGTAAACAACCGTTCGATTTCTCATGGTTCACGAAATTTCTCGTTGTTGAAGGGGGGGGGGGGGGGGGGGGGGNGGGGGGGGAGGGGAGCTCTAGAAAACCATCTCATCCTGATCTTCCAAACCTTCAGTACCTGCCCATTATAAAATGACCTGAATTGGAAGATGTAAATTTAAGAAAGACTGAGGAGATAGTGCCATTCTTCATTCGTTGGAAAGAAGGTGTTTCCGATCCAAAAGTAATCTACTGGTGTTGATCAACCTCATTTTGGGATCGGGCCACGCATCGGAATTCCATCAGAATAATAACCGATTTGAACGCAAAGGCTAGCCAATACACAAGCCAAGAGTTAGTCAATCTCTGACAAGTAATCTCTCCAGAGCCATGGAACGTTTACATCGTTCAAACCTCAGGTCAGGATTCGAATCCTAGATCGCTCTGGACGCCGCATCGCTAGGCCTCACCCACACAGTCAACCTACTGTGACAAAGTGATCGACTTCAACCGCAACACACTTCCTTCTTCAACATGTCTTCGGCCATCCTTGAGAAAAAACTGATTTTCCAGACCGTTCTGAGTTCTCAGAGTTCACTCTAGGAAAAGATTTACAAGAATATATGCAATAGACGATAAAGATGCTGCGATTGCCATGATTTTCAGGCCAGGAATTGAGGGCCGTTTCAGTACTGCCAACTAACGGAAGTGACAGGCTTTCTTTCTTAATCGGAAAAGTATGTGGTCCCAAGTTGGAAGTGAAAACACCAACACCACATCTTCGTATACGGGCTAACCAGCCATGGATCATCTTCGCTTTCTCATCCTGCTAATAATTCCCTAAAACCAGCTGTCCAGCTATTGTCCTATTGTATTCCAGTCTCGGATTGAGCGCCTATGAGATCGCAAACCCCCTGAATGAAGTCGTCGCAGAAATTTCGCTCCCTCTTACTCAGCGTATGCCATTCAATGAAACGTAGCCGCAGTGAAATGGGACTGAACCAGGACCTCCTCTATTTTGTTTCAAGCTAATGAATACACAATCTTTCAACTGGGAGAAGGTTGAACGACCCCAAAATTTTTGTTTTGCTCAGTTTCCTGAGAAAATCACCCACTGGTCTCCTCCTAGGGTGCTGCTAATGAACGCGTAAGAAAGAAAGGGACGCGTCTCCTTGACTCCAGATGACACCGCATCGTTTACCACGTGGATAAGTGAATGGGATATGACACTACCTGGCACCATTTCGATTTCTTTACGAGGGAAATTGATGAGGTCATCTGAACAATTAGAGCTATGTGCTTGATGGTTACCTGTCTTAGCACTTGACTAATTCTCTCAACCGTATTACCGGCTTCGAAGCTTCGAAACGAATTTGAGAGCTTCGTGGTTTAAAAACAAGAAAGGGGAGCAGATGCCGAGAAAAGTCTGTGCCGTGTGAAGGCTTATACGATCAGCTACGCAGCAGTAGTTTTAGACTTTTTATGGTAACTTTTGACTGGTATTATACTTTTGATGCAAACGGTAATAATCTTAGAGATGGATGAGTAACATCATCCAGGTCAAAATGGTTCTCAGCAATGTCCTGCACATTTTTTCTTTTATTTTACCGTGCATTCCTTAGATCTGTAGAAGTTTCCAACTTGAGAATAGTAAGTAGAGCTTCCCAAAGTCCCGGTGTCTTACAACCAAGTTCTGGGAATGCGTCACGCATTTTCCTCATTATCGGATTGGTGGGGACATTTGAGCTCGCACCCACCCTTGGATCCATAGAACCAAGAGGTCAACTGTTTCCCAAATCTGTAATGTAAATCTAAAGGCAACGCTGAGAAGATCAGCCCCTCTGTGCGATTGAGAGCTAGCTTGGCAATGCGTTTCCATTTCTTTGCACGCCGATTGGCCCTATCTCCTTCGGCTCCAGTGAGATCGTTAAGGGTCATAGCCTTTGGGACGATCATTTATGAAGGTTCCTGCGTTGGATGAAGGGACCTCTTTTCTTATCTGCGTTTCCAATTCTTAGCTGACCAATTCTTCTGGTGATCAAAAAACTCCAGATACCATTCAACGGTTTTACCTATTTTTGATTATCCTATCAGGACGTGGACGTCAGACTTAAACAATCGACACTAGAAGGAAAGCTTTTAGCTTTTAGAATCGAACGATCTTGTTATAGGGACCTCGATTTCAACAAAATGTCGATTGCATTCACCAAAAAGAAAATTTCATACATGGTAATGTTTTGAGATGATCGATGATAGATGATGAACAACATAGTCGGTTTGGTCCTGTGCATTGACAGTAATCAAAAGTTGATCCGAATGCAGTAGTTATAAAATTCTTGTTCTAAAATTATTGAGCGAGATCCAGGGCTCTTCCATCTGATGGAGCTCAGTTTTTCTCTTCAGGAAATCGTTATCCATTTCCATCCCGTTTGATACGATTGTGTCTTACGTTTACGGAGGCAGTCAGTTTCTGAACTCCAACCCCTCCTCATAGCACGCTCGCAATAATGAGAGAGATGCCTGGTTTCCAAGGACATCTGGAGTACTGTATGTCTAATTTCTGAAGTACTGTTGACAACTTGGTCCCATAGAGAACCGGTATCATTAACAATCATCCTCAATTTTACCTTAGAAATGCTCTCTGGTTGAATACAGGTTGTACTGTACCCTACTGAAAAAAAAGAACTTATTTCCACTCAGCCCTTGACAGGAACACAAAAAATGTCGAGTAAAATTTTCTGAAAATCGCCACAAAAGTGGGCAGAATCAGATTCCATGAACTCTTCTGAGAGGGTCCACGGCTTTGAAAAGGGGTCTACAGCCAAAATATTAACGACAGTCATGCTCTAGAGGGGAAAGGACTCTTGTTCAACCCGCAACTGCAGCCCACATGTGGACTTCATGGCCCATACGCTCCGTTTCTAGCTTATTTGCGAATTTCTTTTTTTTNTTTTTTTTGACTGCATCGCTTGGTGGTCTACTTACCACTCAGTACCTTCCTTTTCGTTTTCTCTCGTTTTCCTCAAAAACTCATGTGAAAACCTCATTTGATTCATTCTTCTCCATTTTCAAATCGATAACCATATATTGCAGCAACGAACATCAATTTCGGCTGCACCGAGCCTTCTGGCCACTTGTACGAACGTCGGAGGCAGTCAGTACACATGGACGATACTCGGGCGAATACTTCAATTTGTGGATTGTCGGTTCTGATTGGATTGAAATTAAATTTATGGTGACTTCTCCTTTTCTATAAACATCTCCTTTTAGAAGGTTACGGATTTGAGAAGTACAGCTACTTACATCGCTTTTTCATCATTATTATTCGTATGTTTAAAGTATTAATGGAATCTCGGTCTCAATACTTGTTATAGAGCATTACTCCTTAGGGTACACCTTCATAATTTGAAATCTTTATGCATTTAGTCCCATTTGAATTCATTCATTCCGCTAAAGCTTTCCTTCTAGTCTTTCTGATCACTGCACTGAGAGCGACAGGCGAAGTAGCGACGTCGTAGCGACGGAGCGCGTACCCTTTTAGTTCGCGTCGCATCGGCGCGCGCCTCAGACCTGCTATCTCTGAAGCAGTTAGCTCCCCCTCCCCAAACTCTATGTTGTACAAGTGAACTGAAAACATCTTCAGGTCTACGAGGCCAACAAAATTCTCAGCTTTCTCGAAAACTTATTTTGTCGCCATTTCATTATCTACCAACACTTCAGCGATAACAACCCAGAAATCACCTATTTCCATGATAACCAACGAACTCGGGCTAATATTTCCTTTTATTCTTTACAAGGCCTCTTCCTGTTTTTTGACAACTGGGCAGACGTGATGGCGTGGGTCTTGCCCCGTTTGGCACAAGACGTGACGGGCGGGCGTACGCCCTACGCCGTACGCCCGCCCGTGTACCGTGTATCCTAACCTCTAGTTGAGCATTACGATGCAATATTTGAGAATAAACCGATTACAGTGTATCCAAAGATCCAGGCTCTTGCCACGAAATTTTATACCAGGAAACTTGTATGTTCATAACCTTCTATGCTTCCACTCGAAGAGTTTTTTCAATCGTTCTTTTCTCCTTATTGAATTGTATTTAGTTAAACTCACATACTAATAAACTTTCTTATGATATTTATAATTTAAAAATGTCAAAAGACATGGAATATTCGACAGATTCCACAGATGTCAAGCAACAAAATTGTCTTTGGTATTCCTCACTCTGTGCTCTCAAGCTGATATTTATCAGTTTCCATGCCGATTCCGGCTGATCCTTTACCGGATAGCATCAGGGTATTCTTGAAGTATCTACAGCAACTTCCACAGAAGTAAAGGTTCTCTCCAGGAATGCTTAAGATGGTTCCATAGAATTTTTGTGGAGCGACACTACTGACTTATATGCCATAGCCAGGGATTTCGCGATATCCCAGCGGGCGATCATATCGTGGCTCATTTTCGCCTTTTTGCTTCAAGCTCTGATTGATGGGAGGAGGACCATGCAGAACTGCTTAGAAATATTTCGAGGTTATGTACTTGACACAAGATACGATGGACTTCAGCAGTAAATGCGCCAAACTCCTCAGGAAGTACGTCTCGAGTATGGGGAGGCTGTCCAGCCGTTATCGGGCCAAGTAATTAAGGAAGATGGAACCGAATATCATGTGCGCACACTAAGGTGGGTAGGATCTTATATAGTTGTTTCAAAGAAACTTCCAGAACATCTATGACAACATCTGTACGACTGCATATTTTTTGGCAGATAACTCCCCAACGACCGAGTAATTCACCCTGACGCTCACGTGGTCCGTGGTCACTCGTTCCAGTTGAAAATAGCGGCGAATCTCAATAGCCGCCTCAATCATCGTGTTTGACAATTTTATTACGAGCCGCTGATACCGGTCAGTGAATGCGGTCGAGCGATTGTTACCAAAATTGGGCCACAATAATTGCTGCAACACTGACACTAACTACCGGGTCCATCTCATAGCATTTCGGCTTCGATGAGGGAACGAAAAATAGTCGTAAATGTCGGGCCAGTCGGTAAGGTATTGTTGAAAAGCATAGTATTTTGGCGTTATTTAATTACGTTTCCAGAATGTTCTCTAGGTTCAAATGCCACTCAGAATCGTAGGGGGTTCTGAGTGAATATGTAGCCCTTATAATAAGAAGTGTTCGCCAGCCGATGTACAACCCAGTATTTTATCCGCCCGGACGAGTCTGGCACCAAGTAACGACCTCCTGCGGATGGAGGTCCCAGTTAGCCTAGACCTTCGGCGTAACTGAGATGGGCCAAAATTCTTCGGGATGGGGGATACATACGAAACAACTACACACACTATTAAACATGAACCATAAAAGCATCTTTTCCCAGATCTCTTGTACAGCCCACAGTTCCCATAGCCTAAAGTGATAGAATATCCACTTGACCAAAAGAAAAAATTCAGGCTAACTAGATGACATTCACTCGAAGCGTAGGAAATGACGTAAGGTAACTTTAGTTAGGAAGCTATAATTTTGAATATTGAGTTAGTTTGTCAGTTGAAGTCATCGAAAAGTTTATCACTCACTGGAAAGGTAGTTCCAAAGGAACTTTATGTTAGGTCTCGCGTCGACCATAGCAGTGGAGAATCATTAGAAAGCAAAATGAACAGAAACCGGATCCCGAAAAACTTACAATCAGAGCGTTCTGCATGAATTCCTTTACCGGGAGTAACTGTTGAATACTATTCGCCCTTCAAAAAAAGCCATAAAAGCTGACACTCTGCTTTGGAGGGATGGAGACTATCCACTCACATTTCCAACAAGACCCCTGGAGCTCAGACTCAACAGTTCAAGGATATTCTGTAATCTAGTCAAGTCTCACTCACGTTCAACAAAGATTTCCTCAGTGAATGAGACTAGTGCGCCAACAATCGTATATGGGGCATTCGATAATTCGAAATCTAGTTTTCCAAAAACTACCCCAATCGTCTGCCAAAACGATTCAGCATTGCTTACGAAAACACCTACTTTTAATACACAGGATTGAGGATGTTGAGAACATATATTTTGGAGGTAAATGGATAGAAAAAAAAGAAAAACCTACTACTCTTAAACTCCAAATCTCAGAACCTACCTTGCACACGAAATTAGCCCAACAATAATTTATTTCGAAAACACGCTTATTTATTAATAGAAAGATACACATTCGAGGAGGAACAAATACCATGTCGATGTCAAAGAGCTTTACACCTCGGCTTGCTCGAGATGAGGAGGGAAGGAAAGATGAGCACTTGGAGGCTTAACGAACGGGAAACCTGGTTTGTCAGGACGGAATAGCTCCATTTTCGTACCCGACTTGTCAATCACTGCTATACGCACTACACCACCGGAAGACCTAAAAAAAATCTCAACGACAGATGAAAGTAAATCTCTCTACCACTCTTGCTGCATTCGCTTAAACAAAGCGTGTCTAAAGAAATAAAGTTATGAAAAAGTTATGGATTTCGAAGCATGCAAAATAGTTCTTGCCAATAGCCAATTTTACTATTAATAGAGTCATACTCTATTGATTGTAAAATTTTGAATGTAAATAAAATCAGAATTTTTCAAAATGTATGTACCCAATTGCTTCTAACAACAGCACTACAATTCTGGTGACAAATTTTGTCGCGAAGCTGAACTTGAACAAATACTCACCCATCACGGAAAGTTGCAAGTCCAACAGCTTGCTTAACAATAGCTTTGCACTCTTCCCTTGACAGATTTGGTTTCCATGCATTATCGAGAAATCCCTGGAAAAAGATACGAAGAAGAGAATAGCAAACACCAGAGTAATAACAGTAACAAAGAACTAAGGAGTACCTGCACAAATGTGGACCCTGAACCGGAAGCAGTAGATTTTTGTCGAGTTACAAAACCACCAATAGGCAGGGCATAAAGCTGTAAATTGAAATTTCAGGTAAATGTCGCATATGTGAAGCTTTTTGAAGATTGAAGACGATACCTGTCCTCCACATTTTTCATCCCAACCAGCAACAAGCACTGATGCAGACAACTGGTCACGATAGTTATAAAGGAATTTACGGAAAATTTGTGTAGCTCGGTATATACTGACAGGTTCTTGTTCCAGCATTCTGAAAATGGTCTCGTGTAACGAGATTAAGATCATTGAAAAAAACGAAAAAACCAAAGTAATAGTTTCTAAAACATTGCAAAATTGAAGCGTGTGAAAAACTTACGTATAAACTTCAAGATGGTACTTGACAATATCAGCAATGGCTTGAGTGTCGGCAGCGGTACCGGAACGACATACCACCAAATGATCCGTAATGGGCGTGATTTTGTTCGTGGCACGAGAGGCGATGAAAGAGCTATAACTTTTAAGTCAAAGGACCGAGATACAAAAAGGAAAAGGTAATTTGAAGAGAACAACTGCGAAGAAGCTGTACTACACTAAACTCTAGAAAATGTACCCCTTTTCAAGATTAAGAACAATGGTTAGCATGGGGTCGTCAACGATTTCATATGGTGTATGCAGTACAATATGAAACAATGACACGACTATATCAAGGAACCTGCCTGAGCAAGGAAACCAATGATATTCAAATAACCCTTTAGAGAGTCATTAACCCTCGATTCTTCACTATTCAGGACAAACTCGAAGCAAGAAAGTATAGGAAATGAACAAACAAGAGGGAGAACTTTACTCACCCTGAACTAGTCCTTGAGTCCGTGCCAACAACTACGCCACCATTGAATTCCATAGCTATGAGGGTAGTCTAAAGAAGAAAGTCATACAAAAGTAATCCAGCTACGCAATCGTATTCGGTACTTAAGCTGCAGGCAAATAGCAGCTTTGAAATTCTTACATAAAACCACCTCTGTAGTGATAGTCAAGGGTGACTAGCCTTTCCGAAAAGGCTTTCCGTCTAGTGAGGACGACATGTCGCTTGATGATTGTTGACCTTTTCAAACGATTTCTGCTTTATTTTTAGAAACCTGACAATTTACTCCTGTCACCAACTTAGCAAAAAGACGCCTTTTTTAGATCTCAGCCACTTCTAATTAATTTCTACACATGTTAAGTTGAACAGCTATACGTTCCGCGGAGGAGCCCTAATTGGAGAAGTCCTGAAGTCTCGTTCAGGAATAGTTCAACCGATAGAAAACAAACTATTATGCTTCCAAAGATTTGAAAATCTGCAACAAAAACATGATGAACTCACTCCAGTACTGATGGGTTCATGCGGATAGAACCCGATGGCTGGAATCGCTTCGCGCTTTTCATCAGGCATGACATCCATCGTTGAACTGAAACTAGCTATTGCTACAAACATCTATTAAAAAGTTTAATGAACGAAAAGAAATTTGATAAAACGGGGTATAAGTACGAAATTATTACATCCGCGAAAGGAGCACGGTCGTGAGGAATTAATACAGGAACACTTGGCCGAAATTCGGAGCGTTCTCTCCTCGATTACAAGCGAATCTTCTGGATCAAACATAAAAGAGAGAAGGGAGAGTATGAATTGGAAATAGATAACTGTGAAAGGGACACATATTGCCCAAAATAGTGTGATCGGGAAGATAGCAGCTTGAAAAGATGAAACTCATCAAGGTCAAGTTCGGAAACTTATTCATCCGAGTAATCCAACCAATACTACTCGCCAGAATTCAGCCAAGCTCAATGAGGATTCGTTGAAAGGGTAGAAGGAACTACCCATGGGTATCCACTTCCTCAATTTCCGAACTAAAAGTAACAACAATTGATGAACCATGGGTAGCGGGGAAAACATGAGAAGTTAAGAGTGGGCTGTAGGCTGTCACCCCAACATCGAATTCAGCCTCGAAATCAACCACTATATTAACTCAGCTGCGATTATAAAAACCAACAATTACAAAGAGTATAACCAAATTGGGCCTCAAAACACTCTATAGGAATGATCAAAGAGGAAAGTAAAAGGTCCTCGAGTCTGCAATCATCTCAATAATACTTCGCAAACATGAAAAACCAAAGTAAAAATATGAATTTGATTGGGATGATGACTTGGAATCGTGCCCAGCATGACAAATCATATTTGAATTGGCGCACCTACCGTATCGCATGCACATCAAGTTGGCCCGGATAGTTGCCAAACTTGTCGGAGTTTTTAGGATTCCATTCGACGTGTTCACCATTCTGACGAGGTGGTTCGGTTAGGTTCATTCTTCATCTACTTATTTAAGGTAATTTCTGTAATCAATGATGTGTTAGTCCTTCTAGAAAAACTTGTGTTTGGGTGGGGGCATTGCCTATTGGGGCGTTGGGAAGTTTCTTTTTGAATTGTGTCTGTGTTCATTCTTTTGTCTTCTTTTTTCTAGTTCGAAAGAAAGTTTTTGGCAACAGTTGTTGTGATCACCAAGCTGTTGCATTAATGGTTTTTTGAAGCTTCTTTCTGCTTCCATTCCTGTTCAAAAGTCAATTTCTGTTTTCCATGACGTTTTACTCTTTTTATTTCGTGTAACGTTGGTTTAGCTATCTCTGGCTCGTGACAATATATTCTGTTCCCATTGTTACCAGCTTGGGAACAATTCATATTTCAGGGGTGTTATGTCGGACACGGAATGTTATAAGTGCCACGAGACCGGCCACATCGCTCGCAACTGCCCTAATGGAGGAGAATCCGGCGGTCGAAGCGGAGGTGCTACTTGGTGGTGTTTGGGGTGTTGAGTACGCTTAGGTAATTCGATGTTTTCTTCTCCATTACCCCTCAAATTGTGTTGTCAGCAAGGCCTTTGTCGATTTAGTTTTAAGTTTCCGCTGTTGGAGGAACCCTGTAGACAAATTTACGGATCATCGAGTAGCGCGAAGTGGGTGAATAACTCTACAAACTTTTGCGATTCTCTTTCGTAGCTTTTTCGCCAAAGAAAAGGAGCAGAGGGGAGGGGCTCAAGACGAACATTATCACAGTAGTGCTGCCTTACTTCGTTACAATCTAGGCCGGCTTTGGGTAGCAGTAATCATTCCAATCGCTTTCGGTCGAACGCGGAACTCTCTTGCGAAGATCCTTGGCGTTATCTCAGTACAGCTAACCAGGTGGTTGTGGGGATCCACAAAGTTCCCTTAGAAGTAAATCTTGGAGGACTCCTAGCGCGTTATGTTGAGCGTTACTTGTTTAAATCTTATTCAAGACAAGAGTAGCATAGCTCAAAGGCATAGGTCTGTATTGTAAAAACGTGAAACATGTCTACAAGGGCTGCTTTTTACTCTAAGATAAGCCGAGGTCGTTTTGATAAGCCGAATGGGTATTTCATGTTTTACATGCTTTATTGACTTCTAACTCTACACGGTCAAGATATCTGTTCGAAATAGTTGTGGTTGTGAACCTTGCCTGGTTTAATGGAGGATAACTTTTGCTTGGGCTTCATGAGAAATCCTTTCGCTAGAGGAGAAATTTTCAGCTTCTTAATCGAATTTTTAATTGACAAAGTCTTGCTGACTGCGTACACATGATGTGGAGGACGGAGAGGTATTGTGGATGACGGGGTAGCGGTAGTCATACTGATTTCGTGTTGTGTACGATCACATCTGTTCCAGGTGGCGGTTCATGTTATAACTGCGGTGAACCTGGACACTTTTCGCGTGAATGCACCCAACAACGTGATGGACGTGATGGTGGACGAGGAGGTGGTGGATACAGATCTCGTGGACAGGAATGCTATCAATGTGGAGGACAAGGGCATTTCGCTCGTGAATGCCCTTCGGGAGGTGGTGGATTCCGTGGCGGTCAAAAATGTTATAATTGTGGAAGGCCAGGTCATATCTCACGAGATTGCAATGAGAGTGGTTCTGTAGAGTCGAAACGCTGCTACAGGTGCCAAGGTTCCGGCCACATTTCTCGCGATTGTCCCCAACAGTAGATCTCAATTCACATTTTCTCCCTCTTGTACAGTATGATGATGATGTGTGCCGATGGTTACGTTTTTTTCTCTTTGTTACAGACATTCAAAATGCATTGTTCATCGAAGGGATTTCGCGACGTTTGGAAATACTGTTATTGTTGATTAATTTGAAGTTGTTATAGAGGTGGGAGAGATGGCGATGAGATGAATTGTTTCTTTTATGTGTTGATCTTGCCGTAGTGTCGTTTAGTATCCTGGTGACCCAATGTCGCCGAAGGAATTATTACACACTGATCTCTTACCCTTTCTGTCACTTTGTAGATGAAAAAGGTATTGGTATAGGTATGAGTAGATACTGCTGATAGGTGGTGCCTGGCTCTTAAAGCGAAATCCATGAAATATTGTCCCAATTGCTGGGAAGATGTTGACAATCCGGGGAAGGTCTTTGCAAACCCTTCAGTTGTGAGTGCTGCCAAACTAGGTGCAAGAAGGCTAGCCTGCTGGCGTTTTGTTGAAGTCGTAGAGAGAGTCTTAGTTTGGCTGTACTCGCTATATGGGTTTTTGTTGATTATGATCGATATTTTGGAGGTCGTCCGCTTAGGCAGGTCTAATCTGCGAGTGCTCATGATGGAGTAATAACGATATGCGATCCTATCGGTAGGGCCGCAAATCAAATTGCGCTCAATGGTGTCGGCCACGTCTTCCATCTCCAACAGCGCGATCTCCAAAATGTTGATGTGATCAGTACTTGGGTGCGCACCCGTATCCAACATTCGGAATCGTTGTGGAGTTCAATGCGTATGTAGCCTCCACAATGAGCTCAGCTGGTGGTCAGCTGATGCTTTATGCTTCGAAACGAGTGATATCAATTTTGACGAAAACGAAAAGTGTAGTTTAATAAGACGTAGGACTCATTTGAAATGTGGAAGGAAACTGCACGTTCGTTAGTAGGTGGTTGCTACCACGGAATACATTTTAAGTATAATTAGCTTCGTTAAGGGTAATGATGATATTCGAGTGGAACCAAAGATCGTCGGGATTCTTATCTGTATTGTACTGAGAAGGCGGAAGGCTTCGCCGAGCATATTTCCAAATCATTTTCGCTCGTAGTGTAACTAGTTGGACTTGTGACAGTGTGATCTCTTATCAGTGGGAGATGACGTCAAACTACGCATGAAGAGACAAAGCGAGTGATAAGCAAAACTTGGGCGGTGTAACATCAGGTTTGCGTGTGTACTAGTCGTAAAGTACTGTACGCGGAAGGCGTTGATCCATAAATTTGGTATGGGCATCGAAGGTCACTACGCCTCAAAACAGTTCCATGCAGATTTCAAGCGGGTAGCCTCGCTGCGTTACACTGCGAACATAACCAAAGAGAAATTGGCAGCAACCTGCTACGCATAGTCATTGTGATACTCCCTGGATTCAATTACCTAGATTAGAGTATCCCAATTTTGTTTTGCTTAAGCACTGATACATCCCCCCTCACCTCTGTTATATGCCTATTCAATCAGCGCACCGAAAAGATAGTCTTCGATTGATTTAGCTTAGTGTAAAAGAAGAAGACCTTTCATTTAGGCCTGCTTATTAGGGGTGTGGGTGATAGTTTAGTGGCAAGAGTCTATCACGCACCCGCATGGTCACGGGTTCGAATCCCGGATTGATATGCACCTAGGCCAACCAAGCCTCCCATCCCACCGGGGTCGGTTAATTGGTACCAACTCATCTGGGAGGATAAAAGCCTTGACTTATCATTATACTGATCTCCTTTAATTACTTGTAATCTTTACCTTTATACATACACACATATATGCATACATACATACATACATACATACATACATACATACATACATACATACATACATACATA